TTAATAAAATTCTATACACATCATCTGTGGATTGTATCATGTGTTCACCATCCCCAGTTCAAGTCTCCTTCCATCAGCATTTATACCCCCATAACCTCTTCAATTCCCCCCACTTCTCCCTTCCTCTGGTAATTACCATACTGTTGTCTGTTTCTATGAGGTGCAACTTGTTTGTTTGTTTTTTGCTTAATCGCTTCACCTCTACAACAGCATGAATGGACCTGGGGAGCATTATGCTAAGTAAAATAAGCCAGTCAGAGAAAGACAAGGACCATATGATTTCACTCATGTGTGGAATCCAATGAACAAATTAAACTAACAAAATAGAAACAGACTCATAGAGAACAAACTGACTGCTGTCCAAGGGGAGGAGGTTGTAGGGCTGGTGAAAAAGATGGATGATTGATTTTTAAAGCCTCAAAGCATTTGTTCTCCACCTACTTAGAAACATCATAGGAGCCACTGCTGCCAATAAAAACAACATGACTCTAACCACAAAACTGCACCACTTCAAAAAGAGGATGGATGCACCATTTACCACACTGTCAGTATACACCTGTGTTGGTCCTCCCGCTACCTGCTAGGGGAGGTCATATCAGCAGGTGTCACTGAGAACAAGTACAGGATGGCTTAATAAAAAAATAAAGCATTTTCTTGGACAACCTGCTGAATAGAAGATATTCACCAATGAAATATCTGATAAGGGTTTAATATCCAAAATATATAAGGATTTCATACAACTTACCCCCAAAACAAACAGTCTGGTTAAAAACAAACAAACAAACAAAAAACAAAAAACAAAACAAAACAAAAAAAAAACAGGCAGACAAACCTAAATCGACACTTCTCCAAAGAGGAAAGGTCAATAGACATATGAAAAGATGCTCAACACTAATTGTCAGAAAAATGCAATTAAACTCACATGTCTACTAGCACATTCCCTATTGTTCCCCAGCGAAGTCTCTCTCTCTTTCTCTCTTTCTTTCTTTTTAAATAATATATTTGTATTGACTTCAGAGAGGAAGAGAGAGAGAGAGAGAGAGAGAGAGAGAGAGAGAGAGAGAGAGAAGAACATCAATGATGAGAGAGAATCATTGATCAACTGCCTCCAGCACACGCCCCTATGCGGATCAAGCCTACAACCTGGGCATACGCCCTGACCAGGAACCAAACCATGACCTCCTGGTTCATAGGTAGATGCTCAATCATTGAGCCATTCCAGTCAAGCTTAATTGATATTTTTAAGCATTTTTTCCCAAACAGCAGCATATACATTTTTCAAGAGCACATGGAACATTCTCTAGACTAGACCACAGTTTAAGACATGACACGCAGCTCAATAAATTCAAGAAGATTGAAATTACATCAAGCATCTTCTTCAAACACAATAATATGAAAGTAGAAATCAATTTCAATAAAATAAGTGAAACCCAGACCAACACATGGAGGCTAAGTAACATGTCCCTTCCCAGAGCACTCATATTAAATAAGAAATGAGCTCTTGAGACAATGGAATGATGCATTTTAACTGATTAACTAAAGTTGATCTTGATTCTCCAATTTCCTTAAACCACCTGTTTTTGTTGAAGAAGATACCACCACCCCGCCTGCATATATACATCTAACGAACTCAACCGTCTTCTGCATTAAAGGCTCAGTGGTTACACCTGGGGCAATTTTTCCATCACCTGACTTTATTTCTAGGCCTACAACAGGAAATAGATGGCAATGTACACTGGATAAAGAGGTACAAGAGGTGTTCTGAGATAGCTTAAACACACACACACACACACACACACACACACACACACGCATACACACACAACACTAAAAAGCCTACCAATTTTTATCATTGGGAGTTTGGGGCCATATATGTGAGAGAATTATAAAGATCTTAGGCCAAGGGTGAAGATACATATATCTCAATCTAGTAAAATTCATTGATGTAGGAGTATCCCCCTGGGATTCAGAATTTAATAGATTGGCTCATGTATCCAGAAATGGGATTGATAGTCTGCTAGATTGACTAACTAAAGACTAAACTTAAATTAACATTGACTCATGGTCAATAATTTGGAAATGCCACAGTTTTTGAAACACACCATAAAGGAATTAACCCAAAGACTCTGGGAAATGAATGTGTTGGAATGAAAAAAACAAAAACTGTAGACAACCTCCTCAGCCCCTAGCCATCACTGCCCAGGGGACCTGATGCATTTGTAAAATGTATTGGTGATAGGAATATAAACACCCTTAAAGAGTTCTGTAATAATCGCCATCAGTAGACCAGAGATGAGAGCGTGAACACTACAGAGGATCTCCCTTATTCTGATTTTGCTAGACTGGGTTCCAGAATCGTAATGAATAATCCCTCATTTGCCATTTAAAGTGTGACAACTGTATTCTGTTGCATTATACCCATTTTTGCTAGTTGCAAAGACTAAAGACAGTTGGTTTGCTAAGTGGCACTGAAAAAAATTCTGACCCAAGTGGCACCACTTTGTCCAAATATTTCTGACTAAAGAATGTTATACACTATTTGTAGGCCCACTTTTAAGAGATGGCTAACATTAATACTGTACATATTTTACAGGTCAGATACATAGTCTAAAAGTTTATACAATAAGTTTAAGGACTAATAACTCTAAGAATGTCAGGTACAAAAAAACCTCTCCCCACCCAAAGTACTTGTGGCAGCATTTCGGGTTCTATATACAAAACAATTCCGTTTCTCTGCTGGGTTAAGTATGTAATATTATGAATGTCAGAGATTATTCAGAAAAAAGTCTTAATTCATTAAAGTTCTATTACCATAATTCTGACTTTTTTATTTTTGGTCATTATACAAATAAAATCATATTGTTCTGTCTTATTTCTTCACATATCATGACTGTGAGAATTGGATGGTGTTTTTTAATTTGTCATTTAGAACTTTTGTATTTTAGGACATTTTTTGGTTTATGGAAAAAATTGCACAGAAAATACAGTGTTCCCATATGTACACCCACACAGTATCCCCTATTATTAACATCCTGAATTGCTATGCTACAATTAAACCAATATTGATACATAAGCATTAACCAAAGTCAATAGTTTACATTGGGCTTCACTCTCTGTATTATACAGTTCTATAGTTTTTCACAAATGTATAATGTCATATGTCCACTATTATATCACACAGAAAAATTTCAGCATCCCAAAAATGTCCTCAGATTTACCTATTCATCTCTCTCTTCCTCCCGTAAACCACTGGCAACCACTGTCTCTATAGTTTGGCTTTTTCCAGAATGCCATGTAGTTGGAATCATCTAATATATGGCCCTTTCAACTGGCTTCTTTCACTTAGCAATATGCATATAAGATTTCTCAATGTCCTTTTATGTCAGGATAGCTTTTTCCCCTATATTTTTATTGTTTTACCAATACTATGCTATCTTGATACTATAGCATTATAGTGTCTTGAAGTCAGGTGGTATCAGTCCTTCAACTTTATTCCTTTCTTCCAACATGTTTTAAAATCTAGATTTTATTTTTATTCAGATAAAGTGAGGCCAACAGATCAGGATTGTGATTTAAAAAATACTTTATTACACACAGCTTCCGGGAGGGGGTATGCCATGCCACTCAGGGCTACGACAGGGAACACCTGAGTTTAGTCACAGACAACCAGAGCAAGGGGAGCTGAGAGAAAGCCTTTTTGTGTTTTGTGTTTTGGGGTTTTTAAAAATATATATATTTTTATTGATTTCAGAGAGGAAGGAAGAGGGAGAGAGAGAGACACATCAATGATGAGAGGGAATTATCTATCGGCTGTCTCCTGCATGCCCCCTACTGGGGATCAAGCCCGCAACCCATGCATATGCCCTTGACTGGAATCGAACCTGGGACCCTTCAATCTGCAGGCCAATGCTCTATCCACTGAGCCAAACCAGCTAGGACCTTTTTGTGGTTTTTATGTGAATGGCAAAGGCAGGGCAAACAGGCTAAACAGATTTAGGATTAGCTAGTTTGAATAGTTTCAGTGAACTTCCTGTGGTAGAGCTTGTCCCCAGAGGTCTGATGCTTGGTCATGAGGTGATTGGACAGGGGAATAGTGTAAGAGCTGGAAAAAGCAGAGTGTTGAGGGTTTGGACTCTGGATTGGTTGGTTTTCATATTAAAGGCATGCTCTAAAGAAAGAGAGAGGGAGATGAATCTCCATCCAGAGTCTAAATATATAAGACTTAAAGACATAGAAGAAAAATGTCCTTTTGCTACCAAAGAATCTAACTTCTCTGCCACTGGTGGGAGCTCGGCTCTGGGGACTTGGCTGACACGAGCACTTTCAGAAGCCCGCACGGGAGAAGGGGATGTGGTAAAAGACTTTATTTGCACTGAGTTCCATTCCTCAGGCTCCAAAGTCCCTTGCTCCTTAGCCCAGCCCTGAGAAAGGTACAGCTGGGGCTCCAGCAGAGCCAGAAGCTAGGCCAGAGTCCAGAGCTTCCGTTCCACGGTGAAGCTGGTCCTGTCCATTCAGTCAGATGAAGTCCATTAATTCACTGCGTGGGTCCCACACAATGGATTAATGCATTTGTCTTGAGATTTCAATTGAACAATCCCAGGAAGCTTCCATGAGAAACAGGCGTAAGAATTCGAGTTTGAAGGATCAATAAACATGTGGCCAAAGCAGAAAGATGTTATCACCAGATGGGGGTTGGCAGGAGGATAGGTTTCCAAGGAGTCAGGTTCTCTATCAGGATACGGTATTTAAAAATAAAACACTTTGTTTAAGCAGAGAAATTTACAATAGCTCAGATTTGAAAATTGCCCAAGTGTCTATCAGTAAACGAGTGGATAAAAAAGCTGTGGTACATCTACACCATGGAATACTACATGGCTGTAAAGAAGAAAGCACTCTTATCATTTGCAGCAGCATGGAGGGACCTGGAGAGCATTACACTAAGCGAAATAAGCCAGAAATAAGCCAGTCAGAGAAAGACAAGTATCACATGATCTCACTCATATGTGGAATCTAATGAACAAAATAAACTGATGAACAAAATAGACCCAGAGACATGGAAGCATGGAACAGACTGATGAATTTCAGATGGAAGGTGTGGGTGAGAGAATGGGGGGTGGTGATTAATGGGGGAACATGCATAGCCCATAGACACAGACAATAGTGTGGTGAAGGTTTGGGAGAGGCAGGTGCAGGGTGGAGAGGGTCAATGGGAAAAAAGGGAGGACATCTGTAATACTTTCCACAATGAAAATACAGACAAGAATTGTATACATCAGGTAAAACAAATGCCGTCAGAATTTGCTTAGGCTTATTTTTACTTTCTTCAAGAATCTGTTTTTCATCCAGGATTTCTGTGCCAAGTAGAACTGATTTCCTAAACTCCTGGGTTCTTGGATATTGGCTCCTGTGGGAAAGGCAAGGCTGGGTGCCTGGGGAGAGCAGACGTTCCAGTTTGAGCTGTGGGAGAAGAAGAGAATCTTGATCTCAAAGAAAGGAAATCTAGAAAGGGGGGAAGGCTGACAAGGCCAACTTGTACCTTAATGGAGCCGATCTGTCTTTTTGTATCTATGATAACACGTCCTTGAAATGTCTGGGTAACTTATAACTTCCCTTTTTCCAGACTCCTTGGGGCACACCCTAATGTGCCTGGGCACCAGGACAGATACCACCAATTCCTTCATTGTTATTAGTATCATATTAATTGTGGACTGCTAACTATCCTGCACCCACCTAAGTGTCTATCATTTTACTTTTTATCTAATCCAGAGGTTCTCCCTCCCCCGTTTGCTTTCTCCTGCCTCTCTAATTTATCAGTGGATTTCAAGTAACCCACCAAGTCCCCTTCCTTTGATTGCAAGGTATAAAGCAGATGAAAACCCGCCATTCTCTGGAGCACTATCCCAATCCATTGAGATACTGCTTCCCAGCAATTGTCGGCAGTTTGGCTCAAATAAACTCACAAAAAATTTTTTTAAAAAAAAGAAAAAGAAAAGCGGGGGAATAAAGAAAACAAGAGAGGAAGTAGTTGAAGAAACAGAACAAGAAAATCTCACCTCTGCTTTTGAAACCACGGGCCACCCACAACCAACATAACCAGGGTAACCATCAGAGCCGAGCAGATCAATATCAGGAGGACGGGGTATCCGTCTGGTAGGGGACAAAATAAGAACGCCAACTTATGAAGTGTCTCTATTCTACCTCCGTTAATGCTTCTCGTTTCCCAGGGTGGGGCCTTCCACGAGTTTTCCTCTGTATTTTCTAGAGCCCTCCTCTCAGTTCTTCCTGGTCTATGTCCCTGATCTCACCCCTCTCTTTTTTTTTACTAAATCATTAGAGCCCTCTTTTTTTTTCTCTTTACTACCTCTAATCTTCTCCTGTTTTCTTTGCTTTCCTTCTTCACCCTTCTTTACTTGGATTTTCCCACTTTCCTCCTCAGTGCTTAGCATTCCTATTCATTTCCCCAGGTGCTCATTCACTAGCCCTGGAACTATGGGAAGACTCTCATTGTCCCCAGCGGCCCTGGTTCTTCCTCACCCCAGTGGATGATTAGATCATGGCCTCCGAGGCTGCTGTGTTTCACTCGACAAGTCAGGCCAGTCGCCTCTCGAGCTGCCACGTCCAGGGTTACTCGCAGATACCATGTTCTGTCAGCATTGGGCAGGACTTCGCCTTGCTGAGTGCCTGGCTGCACCTTCTCACCGCGCATCCACCGCACCCACACAGGTTTGGGATGAAAGCCAGATACATGGCACACCAGCAGCAGACGCCCAGGACCAGGACTAGTGCCTTTGGACACCCAAGCCTCTGGCTTCACTGGAAAGATGAGAAGAAGTGGACTTAGTGAGTCAGCTACCTCAGCAGTTGGAGTAACCACTTCTTTCTCTTGTCTTGGAAACAACACTCATCCCCCTAGCCTCTTATTGTGTGTTACAAAGAGATGATAACGAGTTACAAACTCAAATACAAGAACTAAAGCACGAAGGATGTGAGGGGAGAGGAAGTTAGGCTGACCTTGCCGTTCCAGTTCTGACTTCCCTGCTGCGGCGATGCCAGCCAGAAAGCGAGGACAGGTGTTACCTAGAAGGTTCTTCACAATTTCTTTGATAACTCGGTAGCGATTGAGCAGTTTGCAGACATTCTGAGCCCGACTTCCTGCGCCTGGAGATGGCTTCCAGGAATATCCTTGGAAACTCAGGAAATCTGATCCTTGATATGCCCCATTTAAGAAGGCTTCTGGGGCCTTCCCAGGATGCATTGTACAGCCAGATGATATCTGGATCACAAAGGGATCTGAGGGGGACAAACTAGAGAGCGTCAGTATGGAAAGAATTGTTGGGAGGGAAAGTAAACAATCCGTAAAGTAAAGGGAATCTAGGGAAGAAAAATATTCTGGCGAATCACATGGGATACTCGTGCTGGGATGAAAAGGGGAGGGGGAAATTGTGGGAAGAAAATGTGAAGAGAATAAAGGTATGTAAAAATAATGAATCTGACAAGTATCACATGATCTCACTCATATGTGGAATCTAAGGTACAAAACAAACTGAAAAATGGAGTGGATCCAGAGACATGGAAGCGTGGAACAGAGTTCAGAATCTTGGAGGGAAGGCGGGGGAGGGTGGGTGGGTGGGAAATAATCAACCAAGAACCTTGTATGCATATATGCATGGCTCATGGCCACAGACGATGGGACAGTGGGGGCCTGGGGAGGGTGCAGGTAGGCTGGAGGGGGTCAGTGGAGGAAATGGGTATATATGTAATACTTTCAACAATAAAGAATTGTTATTTTAAAAAATAATAATTAATTTGAAAAGGCTAGACGGGAAGACTTAGAAATATAGCTGACTTGTCAGAAAGAGCTTACTTGGGAGGCTTGGGTTAGGGTTAGGCCATGTGAACACTCAGACCAGGAAGGAAGGAGAGCAGATCCTGGCTGGGAAAAGCTGAGTCTGAAGCCGAGGGTGAGGAAAGAAGATCAAAAGGAGATAGCTATTCCAAGGAGCCAGAATATGAGGTGCATTCAGCGGTGTAGGTCCTTCTGTGTTTGTGGTGGGGTGAGGTAGAGGGGGAATGATGGTGAAGGGTGAAGCAAAGAGGAGAGAGTGAGTGAAGGGAGACAGAAAACAAGGTCAGGAAGGTTGTATGAAGGTCAGAACCCATATACCATCTTCACCTGGTCGGGCACCTCAGGCAAAAACCAGCTTGGAATAGCAAACTCACATTCCAACTGAAACCGACTGGAATATGCCTGCACTTCCTGGGGAAATCTATGGAAGTACAGCTGCAATAGCACATGGATGTTCTCCAACTCCTCCTTGCTAAAATTACCCCGTGACCAGGGCAACTGATAGACGATGGTACCCAAGACACTGTCCCAGCGATGAGTCTGCACTTCGCCCAGCCAGCCTGAGCCCTGGGTGTTCTCCCAGCTGTGGTTGGCAAAGGAGGAGATCTGGATCATGTGAAAGGAGAGGGGTTCTTCTCCTGCTAGATGATGGGGTCCGAGGACGTGGCCAGCTGAGAGACAGAGAAATGACAATGGAGAGAGGGTGAAAGGATGGGAGAAGAAGGGCCCATCTAGGAAAAGAGAAATGCAGGTAAAGTTTGCACATATTCTCATCTCCCCTTCGCCCCGATCCAGTTTCTTCTCCCCAAAATCAGAGAGAGAAACTGAGCCTGGGGTCAAGGATATGTTGCCAAGAATTAGCCTGGCATGCAGATTACAAGGGCACCTGGGGGAGCATTACTCTCTGCCCCCAGATCCTCCCCAGAACCTTTCTCCACCCTGCTATGCCTGACCACAGGTATCTTTCCACCTGGGTTCCCCTTACCCTCTGGGCTTGGCCCAGGGCAGAGAATTCCCTTGAAGAGCAAGGGCAGAAGCAGCAGCAGCAGCATTGAAGCTTGTTGGGTAAAGGATGCCACAGCAGGACAAGTGTTCCTCGGAACTCAGAGATCAGCTTCCCTTCCAACCCTTCTGTGCTCTTATGTAACTTCCCCTGCCACACAGACACACCTCTCCCTCTGCTCACTTCTCTGTCAGAGAAACCCTGCTGCCTCCCTCGCCACAGCCTCCCACAAGGTCTCTCATTTCCCCTCCATCTCTACCACTGTGGGGCTTCCACATTTTCTTCCTGCTCTTGTCTGTGTCCTAACCTCCCCGTGGTGCCAACAATCATAAAATGAGACTGGCTTCCAACAAGGTCTGCAGTCTGTGGTCTGGCTGGAAAATTATGTCCCTCTTGACCTTGGAGAAATCAAGTCCATACTTGGGTTCTCATATCCTTTTCTACAGAAAGAGGTGATAGAAGGTCCTTGGCAGTGCCCAGTGGCCTTGCCAGCAGTGCCCCCACTCCTCATCTCTCTGTGGTCTCCTCTTCTTCTATCAGCTTCCCAGCCTTCCTTTCTTCTTTATCTTCTCTGTATTATTTTACCTACCCATCATTTTTTCCTCTGGAGTCTACCGTCATGTTCTCGTGCCCTTGCCTGTTCTCCTTATCCCCTTAGACTCTCTATATCTTTTTATTCTGCTCTTTACAAAAACATCATTAGAACACACTAGGCACTTTGAGTGTAGCTGTATCATCACAGGCAGCTCTCCATATTCCCTAGTGGAAAGGGGGCAGCAGTAGCAATACAGATGATGGGATAATCTAAGGAAGGTGCACTTCTTCTCAGTTTTCCCCAGTTACACAAACTATCACTGTTAAAGGGACCCATGAGTGGGATTGACCTGGAGGTAGTGAGCTGATACACAGACATTTTCACTCATGTTGTGTGAATGGGTCTGTAGGGAATACACAGGGAGAGGCCTAGGATCCCCATTCTACCCTAAATGAGTTGAGTGTGTCCACGGGTGTTCTGAGTTTGAAGAGCAACCATGCAGCTTTCTGTTCACAGTTCATGGCCCGGGAGCACTGGTGTCCCCTGGGTGGTATTTGATTAGAGAGGAGTTTTATGTGAGGCAGAGAAGTGACTCCAGGGACTAGAGTGTTTATGGGAGAATTAATTACTGTGTTGAGTCTTTATTTTTTTTACCCTTTCATTAATGCTTGCTGTGGCAGTCTGAAGACAGTTTAACTATTATTCCTTTGTTTGGTTTTTATATAAGCATTCAACTGACATTTAGTCAGGGCCCACTTGCAAAGATATGCCAGCCACTAATATTTCAGATTGATATCCTTAGGAGAAAACAAAAACCCAGCCTAAAACCTCTACTTTTCTACTATCGAGGACTCACAGAACTGTGCTCCGAGTTACTGAGAAAAGTTTATACTCAGTCTCACCCATTGTCTGAATTTTAAGACTTTAGCATTAGAATCCTCATGTTCAATGCTGTGGAGAAATATTTGAGAATTCTGAGGTAATGTAATAATCTTAAACTTTTTTGTTCAAATAATTCATCATTATTTTATATGGCCAAAATTAATTCATATTTGAACACTCAAAAACTCAAAGCATATGCCACATAACTCTTCCTATGAAATTAATGATCTAAGTCAAACCGAAAATTAACCTCAATAATGCAAGGAATACTGATATAAATTTTATTAGAGAGAGTGAAAGGGAGAGAAGGAGGGAGGAGAGAGAGAGAGAAAAAAATAACATCAATGTGAGAGAGACACATTGATTGGTTGCCTCTCACACATGCCCCAACGGAGACCAGGGATCGAACCTGCAACCCAGGTACTCGCCCTTGACTGGGAGTTGAATTGCAATGGGCTGATGATCCAACCTCTGAGCCATGCCAGCCAGGCCAATTTTTATAAATGAATGAGAGTACATCAACCCAAAAGACTTCTGCACAGCAAAAGAAAACATCAACAAAATAAAAGACAACCAACTAAAGGTTAGAAGATATGGGCAAACCAAATCTCTGATAAGGAGTTAAGTATATAAAGAACTCTTACAACTCAACAACAACAAAACAATCCAACTTTTAAAAATTGACAGAGGACTTGAAAAGATGCTTTTCCCAAGAAGACATACAAATGGCCAACAGATATAGGAAAAGATGTTCAACTTCACTAATTAAAAGGAAATGCAAATTAAAATCACAATGGGTTACCACCTCACACTTGTTAGAATAGCTATTATCAACAAGACAAGAAATAACTTGAGCTGGAGAGGGTGTAGAGGAGAAGAAACCCTCATACACTGCTGGCAAAAATGTGACTTTGTACAGCCACTCTGGAAACAGTATGGAGTTTCCTCAAAAAAAATAATAATAGAGGTCAGAGAAATGGTGGAGTGAGAGGCCCCCTTGGCTTCTCCTTTTGAAGTTTCAGCTACTTAAACAGCTGTAATTCAACAAAGAATTCCCTTCTCAACACACAAACTCATCTGCGAGATCTGCACAATGAAGCATCTGAAGGTGGGCAAGGGGAGCAAACCAGGAGGTGGGAGAGAGAAGAGCTAAGATGGTGCCGGGGATGAATCCCTGAGCTTGCAACCTGGAGCTCACTGTGAGTCTCAGCCCAGGGAGGGAAGGAGTTACTAGTAGGTTGTCACTGGCACTCCCTTCAGACAGGAACAGAGAAATACAGTGAGCATTCCTAGGGAAGTGGTCAGTGTGTGCTGCAGCTGAACCCAGTGACCTGGGCAAGCACAAAGAACAGAGGTATGGTCATGGTTGTCTGGCAATTGGCATTTCAGACAGAGAAACAGAAAGTCACCAAACCTGGCCACCTCCCATCACCCTCCCAGAGCTAGCAGGAGGGCCCAGAAGAAGCTGTAGCAGTGAGTGTGGGATTGCAGAGTGCATTATCTGCAAATCTGACAGCTAATACTACAGAAACTTTTTTTTTCCCCTCAGCGAGGGCTGCACTCTGCACCCATTTCCAGGGTCAATGGAGATACAAAGGGGAGTCCACTGAGGTCTGCCAGTCAACATTACTGGATATAAAGCAACAAAGGTAGCAGCCTGCTTCTCCCAGCTAAGCCCACACCCACCCATTGTGGCTGAACTGCCGGCAGTGTCTAGCTTCAGGAAACAGCACAGGGATTTTACAGATTGGGAAACCTAATGCCCACCCCATTGCTTTGCAGAGTTTGTCCCCTGAGACTGAAGTGAACTAGACACAGAAAAGATGTCCAACTTCCCAGGACATTTTCCACCAACTCACAGAGATCTGAAAAGCCAAAGAAGTTCAAGAGAACTTAAAAACCTGTGACTCCTACTAGAAATCATTAGAAAGACTTTTCTTGAATAAATCTACTAGGGCAGTGGTCGGCAAACTCATTAGTCAACAGAGCCCAATATCAACAGTACTTCTTCAAAATAGACTCGCCCAGGCCGAAAACCGACTTCTGCGCATGGGCCACGAAGTTTCAATTGCACTGTACGCACGCCCGCACATGGTATTTTGTGGAAGAGCCACACTCAAGAGGCCAAAGAGCCGCATGTGGCTCGCAAGCCGCAGTTTGCCGACCACGGTAATGCCATGCATACATCGATACCTAGACAAAAAAGAAACCCATCAAACACCATGAATAACCAAGGTAATGAGGCAGCTCAGAAAGAAAAATTTTTAAATCTTGAGGAAATGAACTTAAAGACATAAAAACATGTGATTTAAGTGAAAAATAATTCAGTATTGCAGTTACAAAAAACTCAACAAGATATAAGAAAACACAGATGGGCAATTTAATGAATCCAGAAATAAAATCAATGAACAAAACCAGTAATTTACCAACAAGATTAAAACTTTTTAATAAGAACCACATAGATATTCTGGAGATGAAAAACTCAATAAAATACATAAAGAATGAACAAGCCATCTTAAGAAATGGACTTATCCAGATGAAGGAAAGAATTAGTGCTATTAAGACAGAAATCTAGAAATGATGCAGGGCAAAGAAGAGAGATACTGGAAAAAAAATTTTTTTAATGAAAGAACTCTATAAGAACTATCTGACTCCATCAGGAAGAACAATATAAGAATAATGGGCATATCAGGGGGAAAAAAGAAGAAAGGGAAAAGGAAACAGCCTACTCCAAAAAATAGAATTAGTGAGAAATTTCCAAGCCTATGGAAAGAACTAAATCCTTAAATCGCAGAAGCAAATAGAACACCTAATTACCTCCATTCAAAAATGCCTTACTTAAGGCACATTATATTAAAACTGTCAAAAATTAATGACAATGAAAGAATTACCAAGGTAGCCGAGAAAAGAAGACAGTAACTACAAAGGAAATCTCATTAGATTATCATCAGATTTCTCAGAAGAAACCCTACAAGGGAGGAAAGCTGGGAATAAAATATTCAAAGTACTTAAAGAGAGAAATTACCAGCCAAGAATAATATACCCAGCAAAGTTATCCTTTAGATATGAAGGAGAAAGAAAAAATTTTCTAGACAGACAGCAGCTGAGGGAATTTGCCACAGAAGACCTCCATTGCAAGAAATACTCAGGAGGGTTAATATAACTGAAACAAAGAACAAAAGGTCACAAAACTACATGGAGATTACCCACAGGCAGACAGAAGCATGATATTACAACACTTTTTTAGAACAGGGTACTGTACACTTAAATATCACACGAAGGCAAAAGCAGGTAATAGCATTTTTAAAAAGGAAGAAGACAAAAGCTACTTGAATTCAGAAATGAACACACAACAGTAGTAGGGATAATCTGTGACAACAAATAAAACATAAAAAAAAAGAAGTGAAAGAATGAATTTGCAAAGCAGGATGGTAATTAGATGCATTCAGAAGAAAAAAGAATACTGTTTACATGTTTATGTAAAATTTTTCTTTTACATAAACCTAGTGGTAACACACACACAAAAAAACACCCAGAACTAAATATAATTGGACTAAGCTCACTAATAAAAAAGGCATAGATTTGATAAAAAACAAAACCAACCTAAACATATGCTGCCTTCAGGAGACACAGCTCAGCTGCAAAAGCATAGACTAACTGAAAGGGGGGAAAAAAAACACTCT